AGATAGATAGATAGATAGATAGATAGACTTTATTACCCATTTAGCCATACAAAAAACATGAAGGTTCGTCATCATTATCAGTTATAAAAAATATAATATTTGCTACATAAATCATATTCATATTCATATTTCATATTATTAACAGTAGCTACAAGATTATTAGGAAATATAATGATACACTTATGTCCTAAAAGCAAAATATTTGCAAAACATAAACTCCAAACTATGAACTTTTTTCTAGGCCCTGACATGGGAGAGTCAAGCCAGTGTCGTCCGGAGAGCAGCTCCCTCTGACGAGAAAAACGCTAGTCAAACCATAGACGACGCCATTCACTCCTTCAAAACTGGCCTTGACGACTTGGTGAAAAACATCCAAGTAGGGAACAAGATATTGTACAAAATATTCAAAATAACTTTGTCTTACTTTGTGCTCAACACTTAGTGAAAATGCGTTTATTTTCCAGGGCAACGAGTTGTTTAGAAACGTGAGCGAAACCCTGCAACAGTTTGGACAGACCGTGCAGCAGCAAGGGAAAGACCTGATACAGAAGATACAGACAGATGGCCAGACTCGAGTGTAGATTGTCTAAATTCAATTTTAGTTTAATTAATTTTAATAAATACTTGTTCATGTATACGAATCTATATTAAAACTTAGTTAAAGTTACTATTGTCGTTTTCTTGCATTCTCTGAAACAGTGATAAGCTGGCAACATTGCATTTACTCTATCAGACAACCAATATAAAAGTTACAGGGGTGATATGCCACTAAAAATTATTATATTAGAGATTACTTAAAAGGCGTATACAGGGTGGTCCAAGTAGATAATGGTCTAAATACGCAGTATACGCTGGAGCTAGCTCAGATGCAAACTTATTCAAGGTCAAGTGACATTTTATAACTCCTTATCATAATTTCTTCTTGCAAGGGTACGTTATTAAAACAGAATCTAAATAATTATCAGACGTTTAGAAGAAATCTTAAAAAAAAGGTAAATGATTGCCCTATTTTTTTAATATTTAATTAGAGATTGATATTAATATTGGTAGGTACTTATACAGCAATTCTTTTCTAATTTAGATTTAGTAATTTCTAAATTTACTATGTTAAGTTCTTTTATATTACAAGAGTTACAAAAACAGAAACCCACGCTTTTTATCATGATTTATTAAAAATTTTCTAGGGAATTCGGTATAAAAATATATTTTTTACAAAGAAATAAACTTTATTACGCTAAAAGTCTTGAGTTCTGATAAAAAATAAACAGTACAGTAGAAATACAGACATGGCATCAGAGTTCGTCTATTGTTTGGGCTTCTCCAAAGTCTTCACTTGTTCCCTCAAATTGTTGCCAACCTCGATGATCTGATCCAGGAATGTTTTGGTGGCATTGCTCAGGTCTTCTTTGACTTCTGCGAACGAAAAAGATACGAGTCAGAAACATTTGACACTCACTATTCCACGTTTGCAAACAAAAAGAAGTCTAAATGGGATTGTTAATCGAAACTTACTGGCAGCTTCCGGTTCAATAGCTTTGGTCAGCTTCTCTGCTTGAGCAACGGCATCTTTCAGACCTTTGTCCAGTTTGGCTTTGATTTCTTGCGCCTGTTTCTGACCCTCCGGACCAAGGGCCGACTTAAGGTTAGCAGCTACTTCGCTGAGCTTGTCAGATACTGTTTTCAGAGCTGTGTCGATCTCTCCTTGGTTGTTTTTCACCTGAAATAACGAAATTTTAGTCAGGTCGTGAGAAAAAAAAGTTGTCGCGTGATTGTAAGCTTACCTCAGTCTTGATCTTGTCCACAGCGGTCTGAACGTGGTTAGCCAGGGTTTGGGCTTGGGTGTTTAGGGCTTCTACGACTTGTTTGGAGTCGGGTAGATTTCCTTCTATCGCGCTGGTAACGTTGTTGACGATGGTCTGAGCGTTGGCAGCGAGCTCTTGCAGCTGAGATTTTTCCGCGGGCTTCGCTTTTGGCTTAGCAATAACACCCTGTATACAAAATTGGAGATTATCACGTGAACAGGCATCGAATTTTCAAGGCAGCGCTGATATTATCCCTCTAATTGTTACACTCGTTGAATTAAATAATTCCATTGACTCCGTCCAAACTCAAATATGGGAATAGAAATGCATTACAATCAATTATGTACGACATATAGCCACGAACTGTAATTCGATTCTGCAATTTAATTGTTATGGCTTCTATTGAAGCTCTGCAGTACATTCGCTTCCTGCTTTGAATGTTTATAAACAATAGAACTAACGAGACTGCCAATAAAAGGCTTGTAAAAATTAGTTTTTCAAGGTGGGTACAGCTCTGGACGATAAAAGTTTCCGAAATAGACAATTGACGATAAAAGACTTGTAAGAATTAGTTTTATCGAGGTAGGTACAGCTGTAGACTATAAAAAGTTTCCGAAATAAATAGTTGACGGTAAAAGGCTTGTAAAAATTAGGTGGGTACAGCTAAGGAGATACAAATTTTCCGATATAGACAATTGACGATAAAAGGCTTGTAAAAATGAATACTGCCAAGGTAGGGACCGATGTGGAATATAAAAAGTTTCCGAAATAAACAGCCGTGGACAATAAAAATAAACAATTGGCGATAAAATGCTTGTAAAAATTAGTTTTGTCTAAGTAGGTACAACTGTGGACGATAAAAAGTCTCCGAAATAAACAATTGACGATAAAAGGCTTGTAAAAATTAATACTGTCAAGGTAGGTACAGATGTGGACTATAAAAGGTTGTCGAAATAAACAGTTGACGGTAAAAGGCCTGTAAAAATTAATGCTGCCAAAGTAGCTACAGCTGTGGACGATGAAAATAAACAATTGGCGATAAAAGGCTTATAAAAATCAGTTTTGTCGAGGTAGGTACAGCTGTAGACGATAAAAAGTCTCCTAAATAGACAATTGAGGATAAAAGGCTTGTAAACATTAGTGCCGACAGGGTAGGTACATCTGTGGACGACAAAAAGTTTCCGAATACTGTCAAGGTAGGTACAGCTGTGCATGATAAAAAGTTTCCGAAATAAACAATTGAAGATAAAAGGCTTGTAAAAATTAGTTTTTCAAGGTGGGTACAGCTCTGGACGATAAAAGTTTCCGAAATAGACAATTGACGATAAAAGGCTTGTAAAAATTAGGTGGGTACAGCTAAGGAGATACAAATTTTCCGATATAGACAATTGACGATAAAAGACTTGTAAGAATTAGTTTTATCGAGGTAGGTACAGCTGTAGACTATAAAAAGTTTCCGAAATAAATAGTTGACGGTAAAAGGCTTGTAAAAATTAGGTGGGTACAGCTAAGGAGATACAAATTTTCCGATATAGACAATTGACGATAAAAGGCTTGTAAAAATGAATACTGCCAAGGTAGGGACCGATGTGGAATATAAAAAGTTTCCGAAATAAACAGCCGTGGACAATAAAAATAAACAATTGGCGATAAAATGCTTGTAAAAATTAGTTTTGTCTAAGTAGGTACAACTGTGGACGATAAAAAGTCTCCGAAATAAACAATTGACGATAAAAGGCTTGTAAAAATTAATACTGTCAAGGTAGGTACAGATGTGGACTATAAAAGGTTGTCGAAATAAACAGTTGACGGTAAAAGGCCTGTAAAAATTAATGCTGCCAAAGTAGCTACAGCTGTGGTCGATGAAAATAAACAATTGGCGATAAAAGGCTTATAAAAATCAGTTTTGTCGAGGTAGGTACAGCTGTAGACGATAAAAAGTCTCCTAAATAGACAATTGAGGATAAAAGGCTTGTAAACATTAGTGCCGACAGGGTAGGTACATCTGTGGACGACAAAAAGTTTCCGAATACTGTCAAGGTAGGTACAGCTGTGCATGATAAAAAGTTTCCGAAATAAACAATTGAAGATAAAAGGCTTGTAAAATTCAAATTTTTGGAAAAGTTACTGTTTTGTAACATGCTGTACCTACTCCTTAAAACACCAATAAAGAGTTACCTACAGATTATAGAAATATATCATTTTTGTGCTTATTTTTGTCTACTTCTATATTAAAAAGATATTTAACATAAGCTGCTGCTTTTGATATAAATTAACTATGATATTTTAGTGCTTCTTATCGGGACACTCTGTATATTTACAAATACATATTAGAGATATCGAGATGTAATTTGTTAAAGGAAAGTAATTCTAAAAAAAATATAACTGCAAAGGGTGTTTCTTTGGTTTCCAAACAATTAAAAAAATAGTGAGTAAAATTTTTAGTTATGTTTTTAGTCGATTATATTATTTATTACCTTTTAATATTTTCCCATTATTTTAAATTAAAATATGCAATATATATGTAAAATAAAACTATAATAGTAATAAATTTATGATGAAAATTATATAAAACCTATTGAAAATTAGTTTCAAACTGTCGCATTTTCATACAGGGTGTTTCAGAAAGACCTCCCGTATATACAGGGGGTGATAGTACGACAACAAATAAGTAATAATACAATAATTTTTTAAATAGAATTTTTACGAAAATTTCCAAACGGTGGGATATATTTTTATAAAATTTGGTATTCCGGGGTTTTTAAGGATGCCAAATGCGCTGGTCTAATTATTTTTTAAATATTTCATAGAGGGCGCTAGATTCCTATTACATTTTTAGTTCTAACTAACAATCACTAAAATTTTGATATAAGGTTAATTAGAGTTTAAAATATTACTAAGAATATATTCGTTGTTTATGAGACATCCATCAATAAGTTTTAACATAAGCCTACTTTGAGAAAAGTCACTTATTTTATACACCTTAATATTGTAAGAGTTTAATTAAAAGTCATTTTTCTCGAAAACCGTCCACATTAGGAGGTTCTAACAAGAGTACATTATTTGTAGAAAATAAAATTGTACATTAGAGATTGCAGCCCGAATGGTAAAAAACCTTACCTTAAAAAAATTAGAACTTAAAATGTAATAGGAATGTAGCATAACTAGCACCTTCTATGAAATATCCAAAAAATAATTAGACCAGCGTATTTGGCGTCCTTAAAAACCCCGGAATACCAAATTTCATAAAAATATTTCGCAGCGTTTGCAAATTTTCGTAAAAATTCTATTTAGAAAAATTTATTTTGTCATTCTGTATCTCAAAAACAAGAGGAGATAGACATATAGTTCATAAGACAAACAATTCTTATTTTCTGTCGTACTATCACTCCCTGTATTTACCAAAGGTCTTTCTGAAACACCCTGTATATTAAAAGTTAGATAAAAATTTAATACAGAAATATTATTTTTTTATTTCGAAAACACATATATTCTATTATTATTATGTTTTTTACTGTATTAAGTATTAAACTAATTCAAACAAATTGTAATAGAGCAAAAAAATATGTATATTAATTTTAGCTTCAGGTCAAAAGTTTTAATATAGCTTTTTCACCGAAAATGATCACCAATATCTTTTTTATTTTTGGCTTTGGAAAAAAAACACTCGTATGGTCCTTTAAGGTTTTGAAGATTGATAAAAAAAAACAATTGAACATAGCGCACTGTTCTTCTCGGTATAATTTAAGATTTCTTTAAATGGAATACCTTGTGTTATTTTATATTTTAGCGCGATCTGTTTTTCTGTCCCCAAAAATATAAATGTTACCGGGGAAATCAGTTGTTTCGGTGGCAACCCTGTATATATTCAACGACCAGGTATTAAAAAAATAGTTGCGCCAATGAAAAAAATCACTGTACTCACCTGTAAGGCGAAAATAGCAACGGCAACAAAAACTACGTTCTTGATCATCTTGCTTGTCTCTGCGAATCCACCAACTTACTGCAACGCCAGCTCAAAACTCACTGACGCCTATGCACTTGGTCTCGTACCCTTTTATACGGAATCAGTCACCAAGCTGGACCTTTGTAGCATCCTTGGCCTTCCTTATCACCCCAGATGCTCCAAGAATCGGTAGCGCGAAGTGTAAACAACTGATTATTTACTGTTTACTCTTTCGTCTTCGGAATTTTTAGGTTTTTTCTTCGTTATTTGCATAATATGTTCAAATTTTTGGCAGCAGTGCTACGGTAAATTTTGTATTGGGGTCTAGAGCGATGGTGCAAATTTCTTTCTCGTAATATCGGGAAGGTTGCAGGTTTTGTGTAACCAGGTTAAAGGTCTGGCAATTGACCGTGAGATTATTATTTGGGGTGTTGGATTTTGAGAGGTGTAAATGTCACGGTAGGTTTGAGCCGATATTTTGGTGCCGCAACATTCGTAACCACCTGTTATTACATATAGTTTAGGAGCTAGATAGGGTTCCGTGGCCAATCGGAGTGACACGGCTGCAAACAACTTATTCTTCAGTAGTTTGACCTCCTAAACCCAAAAAACTTGGTCGCAAAGCTTGAAAGTGGTCAGTTTAATTGTTATTAACAAATTAAATGTTTAAATGGCTGTAAAAAGTTTATTTTTATAGCTAGTGCAATTTTTTATGTGTTAATAGTTACGTTTTCTCATAACAAACATTTATTTTTTGAAAATTAAAAAAAAGATTAATTTTAACCAAAGTTATTGCAAAGCGCGCGTA